TAACATGCCATCACAAATTTAATGCACATCTTTTTTGCTTATGTATGCTGCTGAATAATTATAAAATACAGAATTTATTAAAAAGTCATTAATATATTTCTTTTTTCGTTAGCTGCAAAAAAAAGACATTTTTAATCCAGAATGGGTAGATTCTAATCTCAATCTTCATGGAGAAAACATTCCTATTATAATTAAAATATTACGCTTGGGGATACATATGTAAGTCATATGAATTGGCAAATTTCTGTCTTCTCGAGTATAGCGTAATTAATTTACCTCATAGCACAGCCAACGGCATTACGCAGATAAACTGGAATTTTCTTAAAACACACCTAGAAAAGTCAGGGAATTTCATTCTCCTGTTTGAGTGGCAACCCTGTCTGCAGCAAAATTTGGTTCATGTGATGTTAGTTCATGTATGACATAGCACATTCTAATTAAATTCAGATATTAGAAGGGAGAGATCTAATTACAAGGAATATTTTTGTTATGCCAGTTTTCAAAGTATAAACTTGCCAAATTCTTTCGTTTTTTCCATGCAATCTCACTTTTTTTATAACTGCTTTCAACCTCTATTGCATGTATAGGACAGAAATTTGTAAGAAGTAATTGACAATTTATAACTGTGAAAGTTGTTTTTTTTAAATTACTGGAAAAACTGCCTTTTAAAATGATTTAAATATGTACTTTGGCTCTTGAACTTTTCTGACGTGCAGCTCTTACTTATCACCAATTCTGCTATATATATAGCTTTGCTTTTTTTTCTTTTTAAAGAATCTGATATCAGTAACTTGAATTTTTTATTGGTTAAACACCACCTTTTTCCAAGTTGAAGACTTGTTATCAAATTAAAAATAGTGTCCTGAAAAGTAGTTAAAAATCCGTAGGTTGTTTGGAAACGATTTTTGGTCCTTTATAGTCCTTAATTTCGGCCAAACTGGCAAAAAGTCCAAAATTTTACTCATCTAACAGTTCTGCCTGCTTTTATTTGACTGTCATTTTCAGTGTGAATTAACATTTTGAAGGATATTTTTGGCAATTCATTGACAAATATGTATTTGATTCACATTTAATTTCTTTTGAAATTATGATGTGCAAAATTTGGCAACTTATTAACATTTTGAGGATTTCAAGATCAGTCAGTAAGTATACTAGATTTTTGATTCTGAGATTTGCGAAATTTTGACAATTTTTTATGCAAACAAAATAACATTAATAAATATTATAAAAATAATGTGTTAAAATTATATTTAAGAAGTAGCATTAAAATGAAGCATGTTTGTTTTTTCCTCCTGTATTTTAAAGTGACATTCTTGTCTACTTTGGTGCTTCTGCCCAAAATTTTGTTGCTTTGTGCTTCAGTCAATTCTAAAAATTCTACCGCACTGGTTGTGGTGCTGGCCTTGGCCTTGTATCATATCAGATTTATTTTCAATAATCATATTATTAAAGAAATTAAATTAGCAGTTTGTTCTATGCATTTTATACAAATACAAGTAGTTCTTTTAGAATAACAGAAACCTTTAAATCTGAAAATTCTGAAATGAAGAGAAAATTCATTGAAAAAGAAGTTGATTTTATAACAGAGAAAATTATTCTCCAAAGGTTCATTTTTAGAACATTAAGAATTTAATCACTGAATCAGCGAGTGATCGCTCAATCGGCATTCATTTATGTACTAAAACAAATAAACTTAGAAAAGGTTCTAAAGAGAAAGAAACTGATGTAGATTAGTTACAATATCTGGAAAATTTTCAAATTAAAAAGACACATTAACATTTTATTTATTGTTGCTTCAAACATAAATGCTTTGTACATTTTGATGTATAATTACATTAATATCATTTTAAAATCAGTATTGTAAATTATAACTGCTGCAAAATATTCTTAGTGCCTTTTTTAATGGATATTTTTTAGAAATAAAAAAATGTAATTTTATGCATGTAAATCTGTAATGAGTAAAGATGTATAACTATGTAATTTAATTATTTGTATTTAATTGCTCCCGCTTAGAAGTTTTCTCTACATGTTAAGATGAGTTATCTCCTTTCCATAATCCTTACTGTGAATGCACGATACAACACAATGTGAAAATTTAACATAAAAGTTTATTCCTTACAACAGATGAGACATAAAATAATATAAGACAACCTATCATCTCTGGTGCTTTAGTGACTTATTGGAACTTTATATTAAACACTGCATATTAACTGGGTTATAATTTCAGAAAATCTACATGAAGCTACAACACTAACTGGGTTAAACAAAATGCTGCCAACTTTCAACATTTGCAACCATACCAACGTCAGGCCTTCATGTCTGTTCTGATCAGCAGCTGTCTGTCTCTAAGAAAGCAGCTGTGGTGGCAAAAGCCAAACTTCCATTATGAGTCATGTTTATTATTTTACTTCCCAGTTTAACTTATGCCACCTGACATGAAATTTGTATATACATTTTGACTATGTGACAAAATAAGGCGTAAAAGAATGAGTAAGTGCAAAGCGAATTGTTAGTAAAATTTAAATAAAAAGCCTCTAATTTTCTTTAAAGTGTGTGGGACTGTTATAAGTGTAAAATATAAATGTTTCAAGAAATTTTATAATTTAATGCTAATTACTTGAAAAAATTTATGAAGTTGATTTTACTGTTGAATTTGTTTCATAATTAAGATAAATGTTAGATTATGTTCAATAATAATGTGTTCTACCTACAAATTTATTTTAGTCTTACAAATTATGAAAATGAAGTCTGGATGTAGATAATTATTTTGGTTTATTCAGTTCCTGTTTACTTGATAGATCCTTAATTATCGTGTGCAGAAGTGTGTACAAGCCCTTTTAAGAGCATTTCCCACCAAAAGTGCTACATTTGCCCACCTCTGATGTATTCCATAAAGAAAGTAGTTTGGTTGTATTGTGTCAACCCACTCATCAAACTAACTTTTGATGGATTCACAAGTAATAAACTACTTTCCAGAAAGATAGCTGTGTGTGGATTGAAACAAATTATAATCTGAAAGAGTAGTATTTGATAAATGTGAAATCTCCGTATATGAAGAGAATTAAGTATTGGTGGAAATGTTTCCAACAAATAGCTTCCATTCAGAACTGTCTGGTTGATTAACGTAACTAAAATCCTGTAAAGAAATGTATTGTTTATTGGACGAGTTCAAGCAACAAAAATCAGCATAATATTCATAAGTTTGTGGAACTAGTTTTGGAGGTTTAAGTGTAGAACCTTCTTCGGCTTGAGAAGTGCAGATGCTGAAAGGGAAGCCAGTGATAAAGCAATAAGAATGAGAGGAAAGAAGTTCAGCTACTGGTGCCCTCTTCTGATGAAAATTGGACACTGATATGAAATAATTTCCTTAAAAGCTGAGGTTAACGACAGATTATAATTGGGATAATTAACTAGAACTGAAATATTTTTATGAATGTGAAATTCATTTAGGAGCGGAAAGTACTTTTCTGAATAATTTTGGCTACAGAATAATCGAAAATGGAATTTACTGACATTCAGTGTTGGGGGAATAGAATTTGTATGTTTCTTTTTCCCTAACATATTTCTCTTGTTCCTTACTTCAAAATTTTGAGGCTGTCTTAGTTTGACCAATGTAAATTAAACCTCATTGGCAAGGAATCCTATGTGTATCCCAAGGGTTCGTATCTGGAATTGGGTTCCTTAAGTATGGAACTGCGAATTTTATTGACAAAAGAGAACACAACCCAGAAGTTGAATTTTTGTTAAGAAATGCAATTTGATAGCTAATCAGTGGGAAGAATGGAATGACAACAGAGGGCACCATTAGCTTGAATTCTTTCCTCTCAATCTTATTGCCTTATTACTGGCTTCTCTTTCAGCTTTTCCTCTTCTGCAGCTAAAGAAGAAGGTTCTGTATCTAAACCTTTGAAACTAATTATGCAAATTTCTAAATATTATTGTGTTGATTCTCGTTCTTGTAATTCCTCCAATAATTATTATCCAGTGTGTTATTTTAACTCAAATATGTAATTTACTTTAGTATTTATAATAATCAGTGTGATATTCCTAAATGGAGGCTGCTCAGTTCCTCCAAGTTTATATTTCTGATACTGTTGTATTGTTTCCCCATATCCTTGTTGTGATTTAATGGTGATCATGTTGCAAGATGATACTCTTGGAACAGGGGATTGTACCTTTTTTCCCCACCATATTCTACCATTCATATGCATGTGGTTTATGCTTGATCTGTTCATGAATTTTCTCTTCATAAAAATACTTAACTTCTTTGTTGATCCAGCAACTGCAACTCATACCCATAACGTCGAGCATTTTGGGCATCTGACACATGGTGGAACAAAAAGGACAAAGGTATGAACCACCATCATCTAGAATCCTACCTAGCTGAATTCATGTTCTGCCATCACTTTGCCCATGATTATGTGTTTGATGCGCTATTAGCAGCAATTTTTGTATTGTGGTCACTGGAAATTGTGTGGCAAAAATGAATATTTGGCTAGATTTTTACTTATTTTGTTCAATGTATTTTTTTAATATTTTTATATAATCCTTATTTTGTTTGATGAAATGCTTTTTAATTGCATTTTCATATACTCAATAAGTTTCATTTTCCATTTCATTATGAAATTACTTTTATATTATTCTACTTACTCTAATTACTGTGTTATATGCATACTACTTATTATAATACTACATTACTGTAAAAATTGACTGGTGACGGACTGCAGTGGTTAATAACATGCCAATAATTTGGCAAAGCTATGGAGACGCTATGAAGGAAAAGCACCAAATTTTGTAATTTGTTTACATTTATTTGTTTTAAGTTAAATTGTACAGTATTTACTAAAGAAACTTGTATTGTGAACTAATCTTAGAAATCCTAAAAATGTGTTTATTTACTTTGTGTTAAAATGGTAATATAAATAAATAGTGGTATTATTTTAATAAAAATGCTGTCAAATTATTTTAAGGATTTTTAACAAAAATTTGTTGTTTTTCAGTTACATAAAGCATAGTACTTATCAGCATGAAGCAAGGAAGAAGAAAGATAATTCTTCTGAATCTCTAAAAATATCTGATCCTGTATCTCTTCTAACTTCAGTTAAGAATTCAAGTGCACCTATCTCCAAAAGAAAAGAGTCTTTATGTTCTAGGGACTTTGATGATCATATTGATAACAATAGACATTCAAAAAAGAGGAGTTCCAGGTCAAGACAAGTTCATGAAAATTATTGCTTAGAACCAGATTTAATTGAGATAAAAAAGTCCCAACCACGAAATAGCTGGACTCGATTTTTAAAGCCACCATTTTCATTTCATTCCTGTTCTAATGTAAATAATAAACCTAGTGTTGCAACACAGACTATTTCTAATTCTGCTGAGGAGGATTCTATAAAAACCCTTAAAGAATTAGATATTATTGGTGACCAGAATATAAACTGCTTTATTAATATTGAAAACAATGCTAGATGCAAAACAAAAAATAAAAATGAAAGTAAATATAGTGATTCCAAAAGCTGTGTTAGAAAAATAAATGACTCTTTGCCTGAAGAAGAAACTTCATCAACTACAACAGAAACATCTACAACAGAATCTGATATTAGTGAAAAGGTATGTTTATATATATGAAATTTTCATTTTTTTTAAAAATTTCATTATAATATTTGAAATGTTTTTTGAAATGCTACTGACATTTAAAATATTAATTATGCAATTGTGCCACCATATCTGCTGATTTAGCTGCAGGTGTCATAGTAAAAATAATTTAAAAACTGAAGATATAAACACTTTGTAACAAAATTCATGCAAAGTGAAAATGTAATTAGTACTGTCCTCTCACTGCAAAGCCACCATTAACACAAATATGCATACTCCTTCAGACCAATGTTTCAATGCTGATTTTGTTGCAGTTCCATTTTGGAAATGTCACTTCTTATTGTTTTGCTGTTGTTTGAAACTATGTATGATATGATAGCGAAACTATTTTCAGACACTGTGTTTAGAAATAGTATTTATCCTTTGTTATGTGTGATAACCTCCTAAAGCTGGCAGTACAGCAGTTGTACCAGGAAAATCACTTTCTTTAATGCCGGCTGTGGTATAACTGTCGTACCAGCCATCCCCTCCCTGTTTTAGAGAATCGCCTATCAGTAGATCTCTGGATGATCCATTATCGCTGCTCAGAATAGCCGCTGGCTATGCATTGTTTTCCTCTTCTTATCAGTTTGGCTACATTTTGGCAAAAACCGCAGGTTTCGTCTCGCGCCAATATATTTAAAAATCAAATAGAGGCCATCTCTTTCTCAAATGTTAGGGCCCTGTCTAATAATTTTAATGCTAACTTTTTTAGTACTAACTTTTGCTATGAGTAAAACATCAGAGATTTTGTACGCTGTTTAAGCTTACCATATTTAATGTTCTTTAATAGACAAATAAGAATAGATTAATATTTTAGATTTAATTCCCTTCTAGAAAATAGGTAAAACCGTTTTTATCGTTTACGTTTACTTTTTTCATACTTATGAAATAAGATGTTATATTGACTCTCTTTTTTTGGGGGGGAGTATATAAAACTTGTAAGAACTGTTAACTCTTTCAAAGTACTTTTATTATGTAGGCAATTTAGTCTGATTTATCAGGAGATAAATAAGAGACAACTGCATGGATAATAGTTTTTGTGATTTTCTTTCGTTCAATGATTGATTTCAATGATTTCATTCAGTGATTGCTTTGAATGATTTTCATTCATTGTAAATTAAATAAAACCAATTTATCTTTAGACCCTCTTTTAGGATGAGATCTGCCAAAAAGTATTTAAATATCAGTAAAGCTCACGTTACTTCTAAACTGAATCAAAACATCAGTTAAATGTTATAAAATTTTCGGCCAGTTTTATTTGCTGAAATTCTTATACTCTTCAAGAGATAAAGAGAATTCAGAAAAGTTAATAAAAAATTATCTTTAAAAAAGGTATATTATTTTGTCTGTACTAAGGTGTATGTCAACTTACTATTAAAAATGGATGAGAATTAGGATTGGATTATGGAGAAGCACGCGAACGCTAACGCTATCTGCTTAAGGGGATAGATGCTTTCATGTAAACCTTTTTAAGGGAAAATTGTTCGCATTTATGTTTTTGATGGAAAACTCCACATGTAATCAACCCGTTCTCCAGATTTGATTGGATTAATTTTGTTCACTTACTGAATTACATCAAAGCACCCAACGATTACCTGTATAAGGGGAGGAGTTATGCCTTCACGCGGAGGACTTTCTAAGAGAAGCTGGCTTGCATTTACGTTACACAAAAACCATGAATCCAACTATTTATCCGGGATTCAAATCCAAGCGAGCTATAAGTGTTCAGCCACCTTTACCGCTTCTACTGAAGAGCAGGTAAAAAAATTTGATAAAGGAAAAGTATTGAATTAACCGGTTTAATTTACTAACCTATATTTCTCAATCGACAGTACATAAATTACGCATATGAGGGGATTATTTGTGAATAAATAAACTGTATTGCACTTTTATCCACTATGTCATATTACAATGGAATTATTGTTCAAAGTTATTTCTCATGAATTAATTTTGCTCTTCATGATTTTTTTATTTTTCAAAGAGAAAATTCCACACTTTAAATAAAAAATACACGAGAAGATACTTTATGCAAAATTTGGCGTAAACGGTTTTCTTAATTTTGCTTTGAAAATATTGCAGGGTAATCGTTTTCATTACTGGAAGAAATATGAAAAACAATTTACTACATTGTAAGTGTCAACACCCAATATTCCTTATTCTTTTGAAAACGTGAAAGATTACTCTTTCTAAAATAAATTAGAAAATATATTATGTGCAAATAGAATATTCGTTGAAAATGAAATAGACTTCAACTTTTGGATATAACGATATGGTTTTAGACGAAATTTCTACCTATGGAAAGAAATTGACGTATAATTAATTCTTCATGAACATTTAAAACTGTTCTCAAAATCTTTTGATGATTGCATGTATAGGTCACGATTTTTTTTTTTTTTCTCGGCTAACATAAACAAAAGCCAATTTTACAAAGAAAAATTCTCGTTAAAGATATACCTTCTTTGCCTGATAGTCCAATGTAATATTTGTTAAAATTAAATTATTAAACGCAACCAATGTATCTCGGATTTTGATTTTTTATATTATAATAACAAAATTATCGAAAAAAGCAGATTTAAATCTCTGTTATTGTTATGTAAAGCTTTATTATTGCTGTAAGTTCATCTCAAAATCTATTTGTATTGAATCTCATTCTAATCATCTAATGGTAATAAATATTATTATTAATTATTTCATTAAATTAGTCATTACCATTATTTTATTAATGAAAATATGTTATTAAAATCGCATTCCGGCCTGCAGACTTACAGATCTAGTCTCGTATTTACTATATTTTGTTAAATTTTGTTCTCGCTTGCTAATTTCTAATACGAAAATACGCGAATATAAATGAAGTGAGAAACAAAGTTAAAAATTCACAAATTATTGCCGAGATTGATCAAAAATAGTAAATGAAATATAAACCTTGCATATGTTTTGTTCTAAATAGAACTTCATTTAAATGAAAGCAAAATAATCATCGAAAAAAGTCGCAAATCTAGCAGCTCGTCTACTATGGAACAGCATCCGACAAACATGTAAATTTTACTGCATCTATGGAGGGGGACTAATGACTTTTCTCATTAGTAAAATGTCAAAGAGGGGTCAAAAGTTGTTTTGGATCGTGCCGGTCTGAAGATGAAGGCTATATTATGAGAATTTCGGCCCGGTTTTAGAAGGTTAAACCTTAGGTTAAAATGTCAGACTTCTCTCTATTGAATTAGAATGCAATAGAAGAAAAATGCATTATAGATATATAATAAACATACAGCATAACTTAGTATTGACTTATTGTTGGGTTAATGTCTAACTATACATAACTGAGCAGTTAAATTTTACCATATTTTCTTTTATTCTTTGCTTTATGAATTGGCTTGCTGTTATCTTTGATGTCTTGTATTTGTGGTAAGCTTTGGCTTACTTGCAGATTTGAGGGCACTGCTGCTATTGAAATGTTAAACATTTTCTTAAAATAAAATTGTGATTAATAAATTGCTTGCTTAATTCTCCTAGGATCATCGTCTGCCTGATGTTTGTGTCACATCTAAGTCACAAAAAATCCGATACTGTAAAACTAAGACTAGAGATAATGGTTCTGATGGCAGCTCCCATATTTTATCAAAACATATAGATAATATTGTTGATAGTGGAGATTTTGAATTAAGTACAAAAAGCAGAAGTCATAAGAAAATAAAAGTCGATCCAGCAAAAGTCTTTCGAGGAGATATTTTGCGGCCCAGGTAACTTTTTCCTCAGTATTTAAAAACTGTTGTGATTGCTTCAATTTCAACTAAACAGTAACTTATCTGTGTAGCATCAGAGCATTCATTTTTGATTCATATCGTGAAAAAGCATTGCTATTAATATGAAAATGTAATTCATTCAGAAACAGCATGAACTTTGTCATAATACTATGCAGTAAGTGTTCTTAAAATCATTATTATTTTATATTGTTGTTGACATAAGTGTAAGTAATGCAGAATGTTTTCAATGTACAGATGCTGCAGAATTTTGCTATTTTATGTGTCCACTTATCTGCATAAAAAACAAAAACCTAATGACAATTTTTTAGCAACATGCAGACAGCTGTCATCTATGTATAATTTTTTCTATCATAGCTTTCTCAACTTGAACAAAATTTTAAAATGACTTTCTCAGTGGGGAAAAAATATCTGTGTATTGCTGTTGCAAAATTTTACTGAAATTAGAGATTTATTTGAATTTTATGAGCTATTTTTATTTTACGAAGCTATCACTAAAAAAATATCACTTGATGAATGCCAAGAATGTTGTTAACATTTTAACTTGGCTGTTCAGTACCGTATCATTCCACCTTTTGTGTGGATAACTGCATCTGTACTCCTTGGGAAGAGATTTGATGAAGTACTGTAAGTGAAATGGTGATACTGTTACCTAGCAAACTTTCAATTTCTGCTGTAAATCTGCCACAGAGAGCATGCTAGCGAGTCCAGAGATGGAAAAGACCATTGCAACATATTTCATAAATGCTTAAGAGAATTCATCTGGTGGCCTTGGAGGCCAACTGAGTACTCCAAGTTCATTGTGATGTTTCTTAGACCACCTTTGTGCAACATGTGACCAGAAGAGTAGTATATTATCCATTAGAAAGAGTGCATCATTCTGTGGGAACAGATGATGAAAGGATGAAGATGATCAGCCAACATAGGCCAAGGTTGTCAAGAGTTATGTAGTTGGATGTGGATGCTCGTCAGCCATATCACATTAAGTATTCTTACTGCATTCATCAAAAACTTTAAGCAGACACAATAGACAATAAAAATTCTTTATTCGAAGGCTTCAAATGCACACCACTTGAAAGATGGGCCTTTTCTTTCTTTGCTTCAATAAAAACTTCTCCTTAGTTTCCAGTAAAACCATGCTCCTTATCACTATTACTACAGAATCCTTGGGCAACGTCTGATAATATTTGTTTGTAAAAGTATAGTTTAAAGTCTTAATATTTGACAGCATGAATGATTTTCTTGGTTGTAAAAGATTTACTTAATGTATCTGGCATCTGGAGCAAATGTTATGATTTTGGATAATGTGGCATTATTTACTATGATAAAATGTTCTTTAGTAAAATTTCAGTGTTTCTTTATGAAGTAGATGTTGCTTAGAAAATATAACTTTTAAAAATTCATCAGTAACATCAAATGTTTCAGAGGATCCATACTGTCGAGGTCCCCCCCCCTTAATAAGAAAATTAGAATATAAAATTAGAAGAGATCAAAATGTGATACAGCATATGAGAAGGTTGTAAATGCAGACATATAAAAAATATGTTACAAAAGGAATTTCAAGAAAATTTATAATTGTAATATAAGAAGCAAGTCTGTGTAGGAAGTGTACATGTCTGTGCCCAAACTAGTGGCAGTTTGTGTCCTAGAAAATTCAGTAGCAGATTTGTTTTACTGAACTGTAGTTAAGTATCTGTTGTTTTTTTTTTTTTTTTTTTTTTTCCCTTAGGGAGCATCAGGCAAATCAAACGAATAGGCTGGTTTTACATGGTCTATAGATACAGTTAATTTAAGGCCATTTATTTCGGTTTTGAAAGTTTGGTCCTATCTGGTGATAGCTTTACGTGGACTTGAGTATGGCTGGAAAAGCAGACTTTACTTGGTATGTATGCAAGTATAAATGAGCACAATTTTAAAGTAGAACTTATGTAATGCTTAATGTGCAGATGTTGCTATTGGGTTTAGTTGTTGCATTCCATGCCATAGATTGGCTGATGAATTGAGTATCATATGGAGATATAGATATTATTGTCATATCACTCAGCAGCCTGAGAATTCTGCCGTACACCAGTTCTGCACAAGATGTCTCCAAATCCTTCTTTATGGCTGTTCGAATACTGAGTAGAGCAAATGAGAGTCCACTTACTAGTCTCGTGAGCCTTGAGAGAGGATTTTAAATGTTGATGAAAGCATCTAAGCATGCTATTTAACATTGGATGATAGGCTGGTTGTGTGATTCTGATTGTAACATTGTGAATCTCATTTGAGAATTTTGACCTGTTGTTATGACCAATGGGCAGCCAAAGTGAGATATCCACATATTGAAATAGTTTCAGTTTTCATATCGGGGACAGGTACAACTTCAGGCCATCTGGAAAATCGGTCTGTTAGAATCAATCGATACATGTTACCTTCTGATAGAGGACATTGGCTAACAATATCCTCGTAGATTTTTGAAAATGTGCATTAGAAAGAGAGAATGTACCCATTGGTACTTTAGTGTCCCTGTATATTTTTTTATCTCTAGCAAGGTTTACAGGATTTCACCCTATTTTCAACATGATGCTTCATATCAACCCATACATAACGAGAAAAAATGTTTTGTAATAGCTGCAATTTCTTTGTCATAGATTATGTAGATGATTAAAGAGGAAAAAAGGAATTTTGAAAAGGGATTTGGAACAAAAAGAGGAGGAACTATGTTACTACAAAGAATATTACGATCAGAGTATTGGCATGGCATGAATTTCAGCTTCAAAGATGACATATTGTTTTTGAGAAGGTTTCGTACCTCTGGATCATGCTGTTGAGCTTCAGAAAATTGTAGAAAATCCAAAAATAGAGATTTTATTATTAAATCAAATTTTATTCTCAAAAGAGTGTCAGCAATGGCATTTTTAGAATCTTGTATGTGCCTAATATGAGTAGAAGACTGGGAAATAAGATCTGAATGACGTAATTGCTGAGATGAATGTTTGTGGAGGTTCTGCTTGAAACCACATATTAATGGTTTCACATCCATAAGAATTCAAACATTCCTGCCCTCTAACATGTTTAACATGTCAGAATTTCTTAATAGCAGAATGAATTCAAAATAATTCCTTGTCATATGCAGACTATTTCTGTTTACTTTTATTGATGTTTATAGAGAAATATACTTCACATTGCCATGTTTCCTGAGACAACTGTATAAGATTGCCGGGATTGCAACATCTGAAGCATCTACCCAGATGCTTAACTGGGTTCTGGGAATAGGGTGTCTCAAATGGGTAGCCTGAACAATGGCAGTTTTGGCAGTAATGATGGCTTGTTCGGCCTTTTTTGTTCCAGTTTAACTGTACAGTTGCAATCTTGATTATGAGATTCTTTTTTATTGCTAAGTCCTTCGAACTGTTTTATAAAAGGAAAAATTATGTGTGCTGCTTTATGTGATAAACATCTGTAAAAGTTAAACATGCCTAAAAAATAGAGTGAGCAAGGGTGGTTGGTTGAGGTAAATCTAAAATGCATTTCACTTTTTCAGGAAAAGGTTCAGTTCTGTTTTCTAAGAAATCAGTAGATGCTTGACCAAAGGGTCATTTTTGAAACATTAATGCAAAGTCTATATTCTTGAAATTTGAAAATAAGACTTTCATAATGTCTGCAATGTTCCTCGGAATCTTTAGAAACTATAAGTAAGTCGTAGACGAAAGCATAATCCCCTTCTAGTATATCTCGGATGACTAAAAGTTCTATGGAAGTCACAGATATATGAATGTATGTAGCATAAGCCAAATTGCATGCAAATACTTTCAAATATAACAAATATAAATAGTAAATGAAGTAAGAAGTAAGTGTGTTTGTACTTAAAGTAAGAAGTTAGCGCAAAGTGCTGCTAAATTTAATGAAATCAAATAGTAATGTAGATCCACCTCATCATTACTATTTGACTTCAGATATACTGAATGGGGTGCATATGGTAGTTTTATGCATATCAACAGGATTGATAGGTATTTGATGGTATGCATTCGTGAGGTCAACTTGAGTTAAAATTTTAGTACTATGCAATGCAGCAGTAAAACCAGCTAAGAAAGGAATGGGATCTTTTATTGACTGGGTGCTCAGTGAATGATGATTACCCACATGTCTCCATTCCAAAGTTCTCTTTTTTGGAACCATGTCAAGTGGTCCTTTCTTTGTTGTGATGTCTGCTGTTTTGGTAGTGACCATGAGAAGGGAAATACACTTAATACATTTTTAGAAATTTTTTTAAATTTATTTTATCCTTAATATGTTGATTGACTGTGTGGGAAACAGTGTAAGTCCCCTGGGTTGGATTTACTTCTAAGATTCTGTTTGCAGTTTCTGTAGCTTTGTCTAAAGTTGCAGAAACTGCAGCCAAAATAGATGGAATGGTCGAAGGTAAATTCTAAAGGAATAATTCTGACCTTAAGTCATGAGGAGCACTTAAGGATTCCGCTTAGCATTCATTTTCTTACATTAATTAAAAGGATTTAGAGAACCTAATTCCACTCCAGGTAATTTGCAAATTGGAAAGATTCTCCTTATCAGTTTACTAATTCAGTTTTGAGCTTTGTAAAAGGATCAGGAGGGTCTTGTTTCATAAGTAAATCACAGAATATCTGACTAATCACTAATGACCCAATGTCTGGAGGAAGATGAGAAACTACATAATTATATTTGGTATTTGAATCTGTGATGCATTTAGGAGTAACAGCAAGTATACTTTTACACCTAATAAACCATGAAGCTGCATTGACTATAAACCAGAATTTGGATGGCATGTATATCAGGCATAGTGCAAGGTTTAAGCCAAAATAAAAGTAAAAATGCAACTAAAGAAAATGAAAAATTAATGATAAATAGAAAACAAATTATGAAATTATCTATAATTAGCACTCATCTTTGATTCGGAGGAATAAAAGATGAGTGCATCTTTGATTCGGAGGATGAAAATTGACATAACCTGTAATGTTCGATTAGGAAGTCTTGAGAATTGACAAGTTGTTAAACATAAAAGTACTTGGAGCTCTCCAGGAAACAGGATTTAACAATGTCGAAAAGTCACCGTTATAGAATGAATGTGGATCTTCGTTGTCCATCTCACATCTGATTCCATATTGGAAGGCTGGGTGTTCAAATCACGTCCAAGTCACCTTTATCTAGATGGGTGTGGATCTTCGTTGTCCATATCACATTAAATATTCTCACTGCATTCATCAAGAACTTTAATCACACATAATACACAATAAAAATTGTTCTTATTCCAAAATTTCAAAAGTTCACCACTCAACACTCTCTGTGCTTCTGTGAAAAATTCTGTTTGGGCTGCCATATTTATTGGTAGCAGGATGCACTTCTTATTACTATCACCACAGTTCCATCCAACATAATGAGAGGGCTATGCAAAGATGCCCCAACTGGTTGCTCCACCACCTGCACAACGCCTTTCTAAGACAAGGGATGCAGTGTTTCATGCGGTTTACTTCACGCATAAACCGTGCAATCTGCTTGCAGCAGCAGCGATCTTGATTCATCAGACTGGATAAAACAGAGATGGCTGTCGGCTAATATAACTAAGTTGCATCGTGATTACAGTTTTTGGTGTGCCTATCGAAGCTCTGATATTTAAACTCAGTAGTTTAGGGACAGTTAATATCTCTGAAGTCCTAAATTCCCTGCATGCACATTTACATTGCCACATCGCAAGTGTGTATAATAATTTGTGTTTTCAGTATGTTTTGGTAATTTTGTACATCTGTATTTCAAGTCTGGCTTCTTGTTAAATTATATCATGTTTACCACACTATAATAAATGCTAAATGAATAAAATTAGTAGTTTGACTGTGTGGAGGTGTTTGCACAAGATAGCTGTATGCAAGAATTTCTGTAATTTAGGTGTTTTGGACATATTTTCTGCACATTTGATACCAAAAAACTTCTTACATTAAAATTTTTAAGCATGGTAAGTTATGTTTTTCATTCGCAATTTTTAAATAAAAAAACTGTAAGAAATGTACTTAATTGAGTCTAATAATTTAGAAAATGAAGTTATCCTCACATGTACAGAAAATTCAGTGCACTTAAAAATTTTAATTTATAAGAAGTATAATATGTGCCCAAGCTCCTCAGCAAAGTATTGTGGCTTAATAATTCTGCTATATAAGTAGAGATTCAGTGCAAAGTTCTTTTCTTTTTTTTTCTCAGAATGAATTTACTTACTCTAAAAAGAAAAATAAATGCCATCAGTTTTTTCCTTACTTTTTCTTTCTATCAATTCCATATTCATAGAGCGTATTTGTATTTCCTTTCATATGCCAGGAATTATATATAAATTACTAGATAATTCTGGAATTTTGAACTAGAGTATTTATATTGGAGTTGGTCAATGTATTGGCTGCTTAAATTTTTTAATGCCCTATCTTTTGTCATTCATTTTTTTAATAAACCTATTAAAAGACTGATCATACTAATATCAGTATGTCTTAAATTTTACAGTACTTTAGAACTTCCTTATAAGCCAAAGACAGTTCCAGCAGACCATGAAGGTATAGAGACATTGTGTTCCGAAAATGGATTATCTTCTGATATCAGCAGGTCTATCAAGTCAAAAGGTATATTTCACAGTCTAAAAAGTTAGAATTTCCTTTTTGCTAAATTTTGTTTCATTCCTTGATAAATATACACACAAATTCATACACATGTAAAAACAAAGCATTATCTTTTTTATATATAAAATAATTTTTGTGTTTTTGCATCTATTTTTTTCCTTGCTCTTTTGTTGCACATTTTAAAATATTAAAGTAAATAAATGTATTGTAGTTTACTACAGTAAGGTACCTGAAACATTCTGCTTACATTAGTTTTAAAGCCATTTACCCTGAAGTACTTATAGCATGTACGTAAAATTTTTGCAAACTTTGCTTCCTCCTCAAATTTTCAATGAAATAAAAAATGTGTATGCCAAATTTTTAGAAGATTGGATAATATTTAGAGGTTGCACAATTCAATCTAAAAGTGGGCAAAAAATATTATTTTTTAATGTTCATTACTTTTATTGGGAAAATTAGAAATCACAAACTTAAAATAATGTTAAAAGTAGATAGGCAAAACATGATATATTAATCAAGTTTTAACAATGCAATCCCATCTTTTGTTCTCTTGGTAAAAACTTTTCTGTGATGTTGAACTACCCTCAACGAGAGTTTTTGTTGTTCATCCCTGACCAATTCATTAAACTTTTCTATCAGAGCAATTCCTGTTTCTGCGACATCATTGACCTCCTTAAAAGCATTCACCTGGCTTCTAAGAGAATCACTACAATATTCTATCACATCATGGATCCCAAACAATCCAAGGAACGTCTTTGTTTTATTAGTAATCAAATGGCTGAGGTCTTTTCCTTCAAAAACTAAGCTTTTACCCTCTAATCGTTTTATTTTCTTTTTCCAAGAGGTTTTAATTTAGGACTCATTTGAACATAATTTTTTTGGTTGCTGGTAGTGAACCGGCCTCTGATGATGATAAAAACAGATTTTCCAGTATAAATATCCTATTGATTTCAGCGATAGCTTTATAGTGTTTATTCTTATATGAATCATTTTTGCTTTTTGGGTTTCTTCTGAGTTCTTATTTTCGAGATGAAAACCTTGTCTACTCATTGATGAACTTATGTGATCTTCTCATTGTGGCCTAAGAAATTTTTTACCTTCTTGTGATATGCTAGTTACATACATCTCATTTTGCTGGGAAATGTCAAATAACATGACAAGATCACCTTTCCAAATCTGCCATTTCACATTTGCTTTGTCTGTGTTTCTTGATTTCTCTTTACCTAGATTTTGGCATTTGTACATCTTCTGTATACTAGCACAGATATTCTGCTCCATCTTAACAGGAATATTTGCTTCTTCCACTTTTTCTTTAGTTTAGTACTGATAGATTTAACAGCATCTGAAAGTGTTGTGTAAGCACAATTATAGATTATTTATTGTTATTAGATAGAATATCAACTGAGAAATGGCAACAGCTAATTTCTGGATGTTCTATTTATATTTTATTCAGATGATGTACGCTTAAAAGAAATGTATATTGAAACGATGCAGTAAGCATGTCTGTTATGATATGTATATTTGAGAATACGTTACATGTAGGTTATTGAGTTACGAGTGTGATTTATTTTTTAATAAATGTTTGTTTATCTTTTAAAAAAGTCTTATGTTTAATTTATATACAAAAATAAGCTAACACTTATTCCTTTCAAGGGAGCCAAGCTCCTAAAACTCATCACTAGGCACCTTTTGTAGCAACAAAATTCCCATTTTAAAGTTCAGTTATCTGCAAAAGATGAAATATATGAGAAGCCTGATAAAACGGCATATTTGAATATTAGAAATTTCACTAGTTTGAGATAAATTTGATCAATGTGTCTTCTACATATTATCCAGTGTTCTTGAAGTTTGGGATATATTTCTTTTATATGACTGACACTCGCATAAGCAAAGTCATATGGAAATCACATCTTTGGAAAAATGAAACGCCCTAATGTACATGCTACCAAGCTGAATGATAGAAATTAAAGAAATAGTATTTTCATTCAAGCTGAGGCTTTTCATCCAAATATATTTAACCATAGAGTACACTAATTTGCATTTGTCAAAGGCATATCTTTCATTTCCTTTAGATTTTTTTGAGAAATTTAATAATTGTCTTGAAATTAGCATTTGAGGGAAGCTATCATCAGTAATTAAATTGCTGAGGAAAGTTAAAAAAAGCTGCTTTCAAAAAAATGACACTATTTTTATTATGATGTCTAAATTTTTTATCAAAATTTTATATGTATTTAGGTGATATTTAGGAAGCAAGTTATTGATATTATTATTTAAAAAATGGTTTTCAACTGTGAATCAGGCAAATTAGCTGCATGTTCGTCTGCAGTGTCTGCCGCTTATTCAAATCACTTCCAGTTTCTTAAGTGGTTTAGTTTAATAGACGATGATTTGTATACTGCAAACTGTTATTTCAATTTTACATTTTTAGTGAAGTAATAACTAACAAATAATTCACTAATTAATCTAAAAATAATAAATTAATTAATAACAAAATTTAAACTATTTACACAATTTTCTTATTATTGGTTAAGGCTTTAGACATAGAAACTTTTTTAGCTATATAGCTTCAAACCATTCTATAAAAACAATTTCAATGTCTCAATTTTCTTTTTTGCCCTTCTTTGAAACATTTGCATTTTTTATTAGTTCTTCACTAATCATAACTTTTGTATGTAAGTTGTACATTCGCAGTTAACATACGATATTTATTATGATGATGAAGCACAGTAGACATTATTTATATTTGGATGGAAGCCAACACTGAACAATTGTGATGATACAGATATTGATATATTAACTGTTAATGCTTGACGCATTAGCATCCATTACAAAGAGTTTCATGATTTAACTCCTGTTATACTAATATATTCAATAATGGTCCTACAAGATTTATGCTTCCTCATGAAGAGTTACATTTTCTGATGCAGCAAGGTATGTGTTCGTACTTGATTATTTACAAGGCTTAACTCCCGAATTTCTTTTGGTTCAACATCTCATTAATTCACAACATAATGGTCATGGTAAACAGTTGTTTCGAATTTACAGTCACTGTACAGCATTCAATATTGTTAAAGAAGATTTTCAACAAATATTGAGTGACACATTAAAATTGAATGTTAAAATATGAATTTTAAAATTACCACAACTGTGTGAGAAAATTATTGAGATACTTACAATACTTGGACACAAAACTAAAATGAAACTAAGATATTACAAAAATTAATTATATATTTGAAATTAAGAATAAAATTTTTAGTCATCAATTTCATTGTTGATAAAATGGCTATGGTGAAAGTTTACTCATAGGGTGTTTACATACACCATTCATGGTTTTTATGTCTACAACTCAGACTTTTCCATCTGCTCCTATATACAGTTTAATCATTCTACCTAAGTGTCACCTTAAAGGTGGTAAATTATCATCTTTCATAAGTACCAAGTCATTGATAATTAAATTTGATTTTTCTTTTTGCCATTTTGCACATCCTTGCAATTGAGAAAGATAGTCTGATGACCAGCATTTCCAAAAAAGCTGAAAAAGTTGTTGAATCAGTTTCAAACATTCAAGAGGTGCTACCTCATCATTGTTCACATATTACATTAGGAATATTTGTCATTGCAGTTCCAATGAGAAAGTGACCAGGCATCAAAAGACTTAAATCATTAGGATCATTGGAGATTGTCATTATAGATCTGGAATTCAAGCGAGGTTCAACAGAAGTTATCAAGGAGAGAAATTCTTCAGACATGAGCAATTGGGCTCGAGTTGTTTGTTTTCAGTGATTTTTCATTTCTGTAATACCATTTAATATCATTTTCCCATAGAGCCCGTTCCCTGAAATGGTGGAGGCAGAAGGAGCATTGAATATCTAAACAATGTTTTCTTGTGCCAACTGGTTTTAAAGCTTTTCAGATGATAAAATTGGTACTATAACCCCTTTCAGTTCACAATCTGCACCAACATAGTCCCTTGATCAGAAAACATATCCTGTAGTTTGCCCTGACGGGCTGTGAATTTTAATGATGCTAAAAAGACTTCTGAAGAGATATCACTCGCAACATCAAGTTTACTGCTTTAGTGGCAAAACGTATGAACAGGCATACATAGCACTTGATCAGTCTTACTCTGTACCCCTTGTGGCGTTTTATAAGAAATGGCCCTGCATAATCAAGGCCTACTTTGGCAGAACTCTGCTTAGCACAACTCAAGGTGCCTGAAGATCAGCCATTATTTGCGATGCAGTATTTGTACGATTTTTGAAGCACTTTATGCAGTTTCTAATAACTTTGCACACTGTGTCTCTACAGTCATGTAACCAAAATTGTAAGTTTCTACCATGAAGATGCTTATTTATTAATTCAATCACATGATGTTTCTTAAGAAGAATTACCTGATGCTTTTGATTTTCAGGTATGTTTGTGTTCCCTAGCCTAGCTCCAAGGCGAAAAATATTTTTGTTATTCAAGAAGATATTCAAAGACATAATTCTGCTGTAGATGTTTTCCCCTGCTCTTAATGCCAAGATTTCAACTTTAAAATTCATTTTTCTAGACTAAGCACACAATAGTATCTGAAGCTCTATTAAGTTTAGGAATGGTTAAAATTCCTTTAACTTTTAATGTTGATAGTTGGCATTTCTCACAAATCTTAGACACTATCCCATTACATGTTTCAGTTTATTCCAGAATGAAAACTTAGTAAGAAGATCAAATTCATTTTGATTATTGGATGCAATGCACACCACAGTTTTCCACTGCCCTTCAAGAGACAGTTACTTAAGTTCAGGATCAAAAAAAGGCTGAACTCTTTGATTGCTGAAGTTACCTTGCCTTGACCACGAAACCAAAATTCATATTCTATGACACCTATTAGCCTTGCACGTCATGTGACAACATAGGCAGGATTTTCAGTTCCTTTTGCAAAATTGCCACTGAGAAGGATTCATTAGATTTTATATCTCTCTTAACACTATTTTCTGCAAAATGCTTTCAATTAGTGACAG